GATGTTCAAAATTGAGACTTCATCTTGATGGACTTTTCTTTTGATGAATATGAAATATCTTTCATCATCTCTTTTGATTGATTTTAACTTGAAGTCTAGTTTGTTAGATATTAGGATTGCTACACCTGCTTGTTTCTTGGGTCCGTTTGATTGGAAAATCTTTTCCCAACCCTTTACTCTGAGGTAATATCTGACTTTGATGTTGAGATGTGTTTCTTGTATGCAGCAGAAGGATAGGTTCTGTCTTCATATCCATTCTGCTAGTCTGTGTCTTTTTATATGCAAGTTGAGACCGTTGACATTGGGGGATATTAATGACCATTGATTGATGATTCTTGTTTGGGCTTGATTTATTGGTAGTGGATTTATTTTGTGTAGGTTCTCCTCCATTTTTCTTTTCCTGTTTGGTAAAGTGGGATTATCTATTGCCTGTGTCTTTATGAGTGTAGTTGGTGTTGGGCAGGGGATGGGGAGTGGCCCCAGGAGACCCAAGCTCACCTGAAGCTAGGATCTCTGACATAATCCTTCTTACTTCCATTGTGGAGAAGTAATCACATTCCCCTTGGTAATCTATTTCAATCACCCCCTTTAACACTGTTATTGGTTTCTTAGCCTCTTGCCCAAGGGCACAAGAAGCCCAAGGTGGCCTGGGTGACGTCAGAGTTTGTAGTTCAATGGAAGGATTCTTGTGGATCCTGGTAGGAGTGTTCCCCCCCATTGGAGCAAAAACTAAGACAGCAGAACTTAAGGTCATGGAAACAGGAAGCAAACGTTCCTAGTGGGTCACTAGGGATGATAGTGAGTGGAACTACTCCCTTTCCATCCCTTGATTCATGGACCTGTGGATTCTGGCAATGGAGAAATGGTACCATATATTGGCTGCTGATTCAAAGCATATACTGCCTTATGGAAAGCCCTGCACTAGCTGTCCAGGCTGCTGCCACATAAATGGTGTGGAGACTGTGTCTTCAAAGGTCATTTAAACTTTCTATCAAGCTAACTGCTTGAAGATGGTGTGGAATATGGTAAGACCAGTAGATGCCATGGTTGTGGGTCAACTGTTGCAGTTTTCTGGCTATGAATAGAGTTCTTTGGTCAGAAGCAGTACTGGGTGGAGTACCATGACAGTAAATAAGTCTACAGATGGTGGTTTTGGCAGAAGCATTATATGCAGGAAAGGAAAATCCATTACCAGAATGACTATCAACTCCAGTAAGGGCAAGTTATTATCCTGTCATCAGAGATGGTGGCCCAATGTAGTCAACTTGCCACTAGGTGATTGGCTGGTCACCCAAGGAAATATTGCCATATGTGTAGCTCAGAATTGGTCTTGACTTTTGGCAGATGTGGCACTCAGCACCATCTCTAACCAGGTCAGCCTCAGTGAGTGGAAGTTCACATTTTTGAGCCCCATGCACAATTTCCATCTCTGTCACCATGGCTACTTTGCTCATGGGTCTATCAGGCAATGACCGGAATAGCTGGGGATTTCCACAGAATGCATAATTCTATCTCCTTGATTATTGAACTCCTCAACTGATATGACCTTTTAATGAACATTTAGATGAGACACAAGTATGTTTACATCCTTTGCCCATTTGGAGAAATCTATCCACATTTTTCTTCCTAAGATTTTTCTCTCACCAATTTTCCAATCATGTTCTTTCTTACTTCCTGACCATCTAGCCACTCCACTGGCTACAGACATGAGTCAGTGAACAATTGCACATCTGGACATGTCTCCTTCAAAACAAACAATAATAGCATGCATTTTGTCTGAAGTTCTGCCTATTATGAAGATTTTCTTTCACAAGTATCTCTCAGGGTTATCCTAGAAAGGGGTTGTAATGATGCAAATTCCCACTTCTGGATGATGCCTTATAATGTACAGAATCATCAGTAAACCAGGCCCCAGTCCTCCATATGGAACTCCTGAAGAGGGTGTAGGTACATGTTTGGCACCAGACACTATTGTAACAGAAGAATAAACCATTGGCATTTGGGAAACTTCTTCATGTAATTTTCTTGTGCCTTCAGGAAGAGCTTGTGACAGAGCTCATATATACCACTTCCACTTGATAACAGATTGCTGCTGTGCATGTCATACTTTAGGAGTTAGTGGGTCTGATAACAACCTGTTCATGATGGGCAGGACAGGTCTCATTGGTAACTTGGTGTTTTTTTCATCAAATGTTCAGTTTCCACTAAGACTAATAGCAGGCCAAGCGCTATCTCTCAAAGGGAGAATACTTGTCTAGAGATGATGGTAGACTTTGCTCCATATCCCAAAGGTCTCTTCTGTAATTCACCTATAGGAGCTTGACAAAGTCTCCAAACAGCATCCCTATCTGCTACTGACACCTCAAATACCATATGGTCTGCTGGATCATATGGTCCAACTGGTAGAACAGCCTGAACAGCTGCCTGGACCTGTGGAAGAGCCTTCTCCTGTTTTAGGCCCTACAGAAAGATACAAGCATTTGAGTCAATTGGTGCATGGGTTAGAGAAACACACCCAAGTGAGGAATGTGCTGTGTCCAGAATCCAAATAGGCCCACTGAATATTGTGCTTCTTTCCTGGTGCCAAGGGGTTGGGTACAGTAATTTATCCTTCATCTTAGAAGGAATATCTCTGCATGCCCCACTCATGGGATTCCTAAGAAATTCACTGAGGTAGAAGGTCTTTGATTTTTGTTTGGATTTATTTTCCATTTTGTGATATGCATACATGTTACCAATGAGTTCAAAGTTGTTGCTACCTCCTGGACACTTAGTCCAGTCAGCATAATTCCATCAATACAGTGCAGCAGTGTGATACTCTGTGCAAGACAGAGATGATAAAGAACCCTTCTAAGTAAGTTATGACACAGGACAGGATTGTTCATATATCCCTGAAGCAAAACTGTTCTCCTTGCCTACTGAAAGCAAATTATTTCTGGGGGTACAGGAACTGAGAAAAAGGCATTTTATAAATCAATACATGCATACTATGTAACAGGAGATGGGTTGATTTGCTCAGGTGAGGACACTAAATGTGGTACAGCTGCTGTAATTGTAGTTACTACCTGATTGAGTTTTTGATAGTCAATCATTGTTCTCCATTATACATCTGCTTCTGCACTGACCACATAGGAGACTAAAAGGGAGATGTGGTAGGAACCACCACCTCTGTAAATTTCAAGTCCTTGATATTAGCACTAATTTCTGCAGTTCTTTCAGGGATATGATACTGTTTTGTCTCACTATTTTCTTTAGCAGAGGCAACTCTAAAGACTTCCATTTAGCATTTTCAGCCATAATAACCCTTACTTGTGGAATAATGGTTTAAATAGCAAAGATGGGTTACATTTATTTATGTTGCATTTATCTAATGATGTAAGGATATGTGTTTAATTATATGAAGTTGGGTTGTAACTGTGTTACCTTGAATACCTAAGGTACCTGATTGCTGGAATAAAGAGCCTAACAGCCAATACCTAGGCAGAGACAGGATAGGTAGGGCTGGTAGGCAGAGAGAATAAATGGGAGGAGAAACCTAGGCTCAAAAAGAAGAGCAAAATAGAAGGATATAGAGGTAGGGGCCAGGACCCATTCATGCAGTCACCCAGACATCCAAACACCCAGACACCTAAGTCACCCAGACACCGAGCCGGCCATAGAGTAAGAAGGAAAGAAAGATATATAGAATTAGGTCAATTGAAAGTCAGAAGCAAAACACTGAAAAAGAGAAACAGGATGATTTAAATTAGAAAATATGACTGAAAATAAGCTACATTAAGGCTGGACATTTGAAAGCCTCTGTGTCTTTATTTGGGAGCAGGGTTGACCCCACATTCCCCTGATGAGAAAGCCAACTACATGCTCCACAAGTCAGGGAATAAATGTAAGAATCCTGTCAATTTCAAAGCATATTTATCCCAATTACACATTCTAAAACTGGGGAAATACAGGATAAGTTTGGGTACCTATGGGACCTACAGTAATTCTGATATGAGATAACACTCCATAAACTCCTACTTAAAACTGGAGGACCACAATCTTTCTTGGGACCCCTGAGAATCAGCATCAATTCAGAACCAGTATCTAACAGACCCCAGGAAGTCTGAATGTTTTTTTTCCCCAGTAAACAGATACCCATTGTAAAAGGCCATAGGTCCCTCTGGGAAAGAACTGGAGAAAGGCTAACTGTAAACCTGTTAGGTGTCTTCTCAGGATCCTTCCTTAGGGGAACCAAGCCACTCTTTCTTTCAAGGGTGCTGGATCTGCAATCTGGCTCAAGTCTTGAAATTGACTCACTGGCCCATATTGCCTTTGCCATGATCCAATGCAGCCTTCCTTTCATTTGCTTGAGAATTTTATGTTTATACAGACCAAACAGAAATATAGTCAGCTACTTATCTATGTCATGCCTGGAAATACAAAGATTGACTAGCAAGTACCAAAGATCCATATGAATCATGCCACCATAAAATTCTCCTTGCCTGTGCTGACCATTACAGACTGGGCTATTATGAACATTGCTTTGTCTATTGTGGTGTTTGAAGGAAAATGGCCCCAAAATGGAGTGGTAATATTAGGAGGTGTGGCTTTACTGAAATAGGAGTTGTTGGAGGAAATGTGTAAGTGTGGGGATGGGCTTTGAGTTCTTTTTCTCAAGCAACAGTGTGACATCCAGTCACCTTCCTGTTGCCTGCAAGTTGTAGAATTCTCACCTTCAGCACCACATCTGCCTGCATGATGCCATGCTCCCCCTTCATGATGATAATGAAATGAAACACTAAAATTGTAAGTGAGCCAGTGTCATTTAAATGTTTTCTTTATAAGAGTTGGTGTGGTCATGGTGTGTCTTACAGTACTAGAAACCATAAGTAAGACATCTATGCTACCCATTATGATAACACTGCCTTTGATGATTCAGTGCTGCCTCTGAGGTCAATTAAATGCATTGCATTACTTCATCACTGACCAATTCCACCTTCAACCTTAATTCCTGGCACAAGGAAAACTGCAACAAAGAGCTTAAGGACAGACAGGATGGAGGATGTGACCTGCATTTGGACGAGGTATGCAAAGCCTTGGCTGTTTGGGTGCTCAGTGAAATCAGGTATCCAAAGTGAGTAGCTGACACAGTCTCTGCCACAGATTCCCAGCACAAGGAGAGAAGGCCTCACCCAAGAGCTCCTGTGAAGCCAATCATTTGCGGACACCAGTGCAGCTCCAAGCAACTCTCCCAAGAGACACAGTAAACTTTAATTTTTAATTGGAATATGACTACAGAAAGGCCATTTGTATTATATGTCTGTAGAGAAAAGCAGAAACAAACATTTGGGAAGATTTATGAAATGTTATCCTGTTGGAGATTTGATATACTAATACAGTAATTTAATCTTTTTCCTGAATGATTTTGTCTGCATGATTTTTTCTTTTTTTCCAGATGTCTCATTTATCCAGTGGTCTTCAGATTTCTTAGCTGGATGCCTTCATTATCCTGAAAAGACAAAAACAAAACCCTACCTCAACCCTAAATTTGGGAAAGTTCCCTTATGGCAAGCAATATCTGAAAAAATGAAAAGCATTTCTTAGTTTTAAAGTTAGTTTAGATTAAATGGCCATACTCTTTGATTAGTTATCATCTTTTCTAAACAAGGTGTGTCTTTTGTTCAAACCCTAATCTCTATCGATTTTGTGGTATATGTCACTTTTCTTCTTCCCAAACCCCCTTCCCCAACATAACACACATCCTGGTTCCCATTCTGAGGTCAGCACATCTTTAAAATATACCAGCTGATTTAATTCTATAGGTTTTTTCTATTATCTAATTTCTCTCCACGACAGTCAATTCTTTCTCATTAACATTCAGAAAATTCAAAGTTAATAAAGCATTATGCAATCTATTTCTGCAGGTCTTTAAACCCCTTGTTGTTTATTTAGCATATCATTTTGAGTTCAATTTGATCATTCTATAACTGCTTGCCTTGTAGTATTGTGTGGTATACCTATAATATGTTTTATATTGTAATAAGCAAAAAACTGTTTCATTTACTAGAGACATATGCTAGGGTGTTGTCAGTCTTCATTTATACAAGTATTACTATGACTTCTAACATTGGTTGATTACAGAATAAGCCTTTTCAGAACTCAAAGTAGTTGCCCATTGAAATCCTGAATGGTATCAATGATGTAGTATACATATTTTAGTTTTCCAAATTCTAGAAAATAAAGCACATTCATCTTCCAGATTTCATTCCTTTTACATACCCTTTGGGTTACTTCCTGATGGTGTTGGAGTTTAGTTGTATAAAGAACAAGGAGACCATTTCCTCATAATTTACTTGACTTGTTGCCAAGGATAGAAAAAGCCTTTTTTTTCAAACCTTTGCTATGGACATGATGTTTTCTTATGAAATTCTGAGGCCTTCAGCATATTTACTATCAGTAGTTGATCAATTTCATCATTACCTAGACCTAAAGGGTCTGGCAGACCTGTATAGGATCAGATGTATGTTTCTATAGCTTTGTTCTCCATATTTTCCTGTTTCCTTGTAGGCAGAATATTATCTAATTAATTGTCAAACACCATGGTTATCTCATTTATATGTCTATCAGAATTCTTGAACCCTACAAACAACTTGATTTTATTGGATCTTGATTTTAATATTTACTAGGTGGGATAAGAACGTCAATGAATGTAGGATGAACATTTCCTTATAACTGAGGCAAGGACTTCCTAAGAATGACACAGACTGAATTATTAGATATTTCACTTGCTTGCATCAATGTATATTAAAAAGTATGGTCTTTATCTAGACTGGAATGGGCCTGCAGTATTACCAGTGTGGTTTAATTGTTCCTCTTCATTATAAGAAGGGACAAAGAAAAACATTACTTTCTAGAAAGTAGTGGGGAAACTTGAGTCAAAAGAGAGATGAGTGACTGGGGAAACCAGCAGAAGTCTTTCATTTGACCTAGTTGAAGGTGTGTCACTGTGGGTATGGGCTTTGAGATCTGTTTTGCTCAAGCTTCCCTCAGTGTGACTGTTAGTTGACTTCATGTTGTCTCTAGTTTTTACACACACACACACACACACACACACACAGCATACATATGCAGGAAACACACAAATGCACACAAGACAGTCTTTTCAAATGGAATGAAACAAGGAATCTGGTATCAGATTTGGGATTGCCTTAGGAAGCTATAGGATAGGTACAACTGGGGGACAATGACATCTCAGTGAATCCCATTTTTCATAAGTGGAGGCAAACATCAAGCTAACTCTGTAATTACTAGAAAAGTAGCTGTCACTCATTTTAGCTCAAGTTCAGACATGTTTATAGATGACAAATGATCTTGTCTCAGAATTGTCTTGCCTAAGGTTGCTCTTTTATGAGGGTATGAATATCCAGTAATGCATTGTGGGACAACCATGATCATCAGGCCAGCTTGTTGAAATGAGGACTCTTAGATCTAAATGCCAGGCCAACCCCAAGATGCCAACTGCTGCTTTGATCTTCACATGGATGGTGCCTGCTTCTGCAGTCACAGGAAGTTGTTTTTGTTGTAATTAGGAAAAGTTGGGGAATTTTCCTGAAAATCACTGTGTCTCAGCCTTGGTTCCTATGAGAGGCACCTCCATATCTGACATTCTTTTGTTTGTTTTACCACCAGTCCTCTATGCTGGTTAGTTTCAGTGAGCCCCCATATCATGGAGAATAGTCTACCCCACCAACAATCATTTCCCTGTATCTTCCCTTAGAAAGAATTGCCCTGGATTGAGGTTTGTAATTTCCTCCTTGACTTTGAACGTTTTGACTATTTCACAAAGTGTTTTGTGTTGAAGGGGCAGCTTCAGGGTGAACTCATGCTGCCATCTTGATCTAGGAGCAGCCAAAGCTCTTTCTCTGCCTTTCACTGCATTGTGGTCTCTTGTCTCATGGTGGCATTGTCAAATTATTTCCTGTTAACAGAGTCCTGTATTAGAACTGCTTTTTATTTTTTCTGAGTAATTCTAAATATAGCTCATGTTGTGTATAGATTCTTTTTGTCTCTTAAATGCCAAGGTAAAAAAATGAAAATCTGGCAGGGCGGTGGTGGCGCATGCCTTTAATCCCAGCACTCGAGAGGCAGAGGGAGGTGGATCTCTGTGAGTTCGTGGCCAGGCTGGACCAACAGCTTCCAAAACAATACAGAGAAACCCTGTCTCGTAAAAACCAAAAAAAGAGAAAAAAGAAAATCTGGGCATGGAAGTATATGGATGTAGTTGCAGTCACTTAAGAGACTGTGGCCAGAAAATGACTTGGAACCAGGAATTTCAGGCCAGCCTAGGAAACTTAGCCATCAGGAAGTGGGGTGGGAGGAGTGAGGGGGTTTTTACATTGGTTGTTTTTCTCAACAGTGATTTCCAATATTTAAAAATGTACACCAACCAATACCTTGATTCAAGAGCCATGAGCTTGAAGGCAGATTAATCTCTTGATCTAGGGGTCAGAGCATGCTGTGGAGAAGTAGGCAGCCTTTTATCTTTTGTGCCTCTACTGGCCAAACCATTCTTTTTCCAAGGTGCACATCTGAATCCATGTTGACTAGGCATAGCCTCAGAAGCCTGTGTCTCTCCATTCTATATTGAAAACAAGGTTCTGTGGGTGGAGGAAGTATACAGAAAATCTGTGTTCCCAAGGAATTTAGGAGACTGTGGATGGAGGAAGTATGCAGCAAGTCTGTGTTCCCAGGGAATTTATGAGACTCTGTGGAAGGAGGAAGTGAGCAGCAAGTCTGTGTTCCCAGGGAATTTATGAGACTCTCTGGAAGGAGGAAGTGAGCAGCAAGTCTGTGTTCCCAGGGAATTTATGAGACTATGGATCGAGGAAGTGTGTAGCAAGTCTGTGTTCCTATGGTCCTTATAAGGTCACTAATATAGGAGAACCTATGAACAGGCAGCACACATTCGGGCTTGAGATTATTATAGAGGAAATAAAACCTGAAACTCTAGGACACGAGTTAGGATCTTGGCTATAAGATCCAGCACTCTGTCATTCCAACATTTATTATACACAGATTTATACATGTAACTGCAAGGGTAATTATTTATTGAACAGTGAGAGGAAGATATTCGTGAAGAGTTGTATAGGCTGTGACAAAGAAACATTTAAAAGAAATCCTTTGATTCTGAATGAGGCATCCTAGGTAACCAGGGAAGATGCTGGGGATTCAGGGTTTACACTTTTCTGGGGGACAACAATGGGAATCAGATCACAGGATTTGTCACAGGACAGTGTGTGGACAGTAAGGGATGGGGCTGGAGTGAGGTTAGGAGTTCCCACTCAACACTGAGGGAGCCAGGAAGAAAGAATACAGACATTCATATGATGGGGGAAGTCCTTCTGTGTATATGTTGTCTTGTTGGTTGATGAATTATGTACTGTTGGCCAATAGGGAATCAAGATAGATGGATCTGGGAGTCGAGGAGGCTGCTTGGAAATGTAGTCAAGAGTAGGAGTTGCCATGTGATCTCTCAGGAGAAGAGGACTCATCAGGAGGGCGTCCTCAGAAATAAGTCTTTATAAAAATATATGTTCATTATTATATCTTAATAATTAAGTCAGAGCTGGCCAATGAGAAACCATAGAAAACAGCCAACAGCTTCATAAACATGGTGTCCAGTGTGTCCATTTGGGATTGAAGCAGCTCTGGGACCAGGCTGGTGGGAAGAATACACAGCACACTGAATAAGCATTGCTATAGCTGACTTTAGGAAATAGAGACATTCTATCATACAGAGCAAAGGGTGAAGACACAGAACTTCCCCTGCCAACCCTATGATGTTACTTACCAGAATACAGGAAAAAATGCATAGAATAAGCGACCTTATCCTTATTGATGCTGTATGAAAAATAAAAGTAATGAAAGATCTGAAGATTGTTCTCAGTATTTTTGGCATAAGAAGCTTTGTTTTCGGATATCTACACTGTGTGAAGATGTGTCACTGTGATTGGTTTAAGAAAGAGATGAATGACCAATAACAAGGCAGGACATTTAGGTGGGACTTACAGTAAGAGAGAGAGAAAACTCATCTAAGAGGAAGGAGGCAGAGTTGTCAGCCAGAGGAATTGGAGAGAAAATAGGATTTGCAAGATGGAAGAGAGATAACACTATGTGAATGTAGATTAAGATAAATGGGTTAATTTAAATTATAAGAGCTAAGTAGGAACAAGCCTAATCCACAGAACAAACTGTCATGATTAATAAAAGTCAGTTTCATTATTTGGAAGCTGGTTGGTGGAACAGAAAAAGACTTGTCACAAAACTCAGCAGAATTTTCAGTGTTTGAGAAATAATGATATGATACTGTAATGATAAACGGCACACTTACTGAAAGTAAAACTAAGTATTTATTGTAGAAATTACTCACAAGATACCAAACAAGTAACCCAGATGAGCCCAGTAGTTTTCTGCCGCTGAACTGGAAGCCGAAAGCCGGAAAAAGAGACCAAGACTTCCGTTGTTCAGTCTTTTATACCTTCCCCCATAACACCCCTAGCCATGCCCAAAAGTTCGCCTGGCTAGTGACGTAGTCCACCGCCTACATCTGTATACGTCTTTACGTCTGTCCGTATACGTCTTTAGTCATGCCTAAAGTGGGTGTGGTTAGTGGTATGGTAAACCGCTCTTTTTTATTACCTCATCTGTATGCACCTCTAGTAAGTCACATGGTTAATGGCAGCATTGTTTTCCTCCTACAATGATAAAAAGTACTTTTAAAGGCTTTCATATATTATCAGAATGAAGTTTTGGAATAAATGGGAAAGAGGAAAAATGAGGGAACTCAGTGTGCTC